AGGGAAAGCACGAGGAATCAGTTTTCTTCTTTTTCCGTAATATTTTTTCACTGGAGTCCCAGTGCAAGAATTTGAGAGCCTGATACAGATATCTGAGTTTTCAGTTCACTATTTGAAACAAAGCAAAAATAAACAAAAAACCCACAATGAAAAAAAACCACAAAACCCCCTCAAACTAAGAAGCCCCACCTCTCCCCTGGCCCATTCAAATAGCGTTTTTACTCATCTCCATTTTTCACGTTGGGTCACACAAAACATTTCCATTTCACCTGTTTAAAAAAATCCATGCATACACAGATGTGAATATACGAGAAGGCGGCAAGATTCCCCTGGCAACTTTGATGCTATTCAGAAAACAGACAAAGAGGTGACAGTTCTGTTGCTCAGGTTGCTCACCAGTGATGTAAGAAAATAAGCTTTATGCAGTTACTCAGAACAAGACTTAACATTCCTATACATGCCTGGAGAGTGACCTAACCACTGAGATATGCTATACCCTGTAGCAAGTCTCACCTACTAAAATTGTTCATTTTGCATATGTAATTAAATATAAAATAAACCAGGGCTGAGTCATGGATGAGTGCCATACCACATGACATAAGACAATTATCAGCCCCATTTTCTCCATTTTTTGAATTTTCTGAACGATTTCTTAATTTTCTGTTGAATCTCAACCTTCCAAAAATGGATTGAAAATAACAGGTAACTAGTTACAGCTTCTTCAAAACTCCATATTTTTTATGGAACAAAACAAACTAAATCTGTGAATTATTCTTTAGACTGTACGAAAACCCTTCAGAGCAAGCACAGGCTCCAGTGCCACAAGAAGCTCTAGCTACAACTCTTCTATGATTCTCATCACAGGCTCATCTAAACCAGAAAAAACTAAAAGGGTACCAGGCCACTGGTAATGAGTCACTTCTGGGTAGTGCAGCTAAAGGCACAGAGGAATGAAATCCTCTGCTCTGACTTATGATTCATGTATTGACTCACATGCATAACCTGAAAGTTATTCCAAGAGGCCCAGGGTAAACGTGTTACACATACCCATAGTCCGCTGATGTCCAAAATTACTGAAGTCTGTGGGAGCTGAGCACTACTGAAAGTCAGCCACTTACTGGGAGCTTCCATCAAAACACAGGAAATTGACTTCAAGTTTTATTTTCAAAAACATTGAGATAAACTGTGAAGAACATTGTTAGCCTGACAACTAATGAGCCAACCACTCCAGTGAGAGTGCTTAAACACTCTGGTGAATATAGGAAGGAGTTTGTATTACCAAAGGCTAATGAAGCAATGATGGGAGCAAAAGCATTTTGGGACTCAAGAAAAAAAACATCAGCAGTCTTAGTAAAAAATGTGCAAGTAGTTTTCAGTCACATGTCGTTACTGCTGTTGCAACTTTCCCTCAAATGACCAAGCATGTTAGTTCCTACCTGCAGAAGAAAGCGCATCAGATGAATCTCTTTTATATCATTATATGAATAACGGGAACACATCTGGTCTCCCACAGCATGATCTTTATGACATAAGTTGAAAATAAATGGATCACTGATGCTGGAAGAGAAAAATATAAAGAAAGAAAAATTAATTTGAAACAAATAAAGATCAGGAGAGCCCTCATGACCATCCAAGTCCTCCCTAAAGAAGAATAAAAATGCTAAGAGATAGCAAGATCAACTGTGATATGCATTAATTGAAAACAAAGCTAACTACTGAAGGCAGATTTTTGTATTAGTTCCCAAAATAAAATTAAGAGCCTGTGGAGGCTAAGGGTAGGTTTGGAATTATTTTAGCACATGCAAATAGGCAGACAGCAATGTTTTGCACACACTGAAGTTTGAGAAGCAGCAAGGGAAGGGGCTGGGTGGGAGAACTTGAAAGCCTGGGTCAAGGGCAAGCATCATATGGACACACAGCTATTATAAACAGCAGTTAATTGGAACTAATAATTAAGAAATTAATTCGTTATTACTTTAGTTGTGTACATGTATTGCAATTGCTATCTACAGCCTAGGCCATAGCAAATCCCTTAGAAAAACAACCTAAGCTTTTATCGGAACCAGTCCAATCAATCCTTATGTCACCTGATCAGATTGACTGATATTGGACTTAGTAAGAATCGGATGTAGAGCAGACAGTCAGGGAGTAAAAACACTGAGTTACTCACTGTCCCACTGGGCTTTGCACATGAGCACACAGTATGCGCAAAGAGCTAAGTCTAACAGACTCATTTTCAATATTGATTAGTTTCAATAAATCATGAGTCAAAGCTGATAGCAGTGTGCCAAATATTAATTACGATTCTGTCTTGGAGAAACAAATAAAAACTTATGAGACAATGAAGCTAAAGGCTCTTGTAATGACTGTTCCATATGAATAAAAGATGGAAGCCAGTCAGAAAGAAACATTAACAACACTTTAAAAGAACTGAAAAACAGCAACGTATGTGTTAGACTGCCCACCATCTCCATCTGTTGGAGCTAGGAGTCCTTGTTGCACCTCCAAAGCCTGTGAACAAGCACCTATGTTAGCTATGTTAAACCATTCTGTTAACAGATGGAAAGGATGGCAAACTTCTTGCTTTGCTGATATCCCTCTTAAAATCCCCCCAAAGTATGTGCAAATTCCAGGTATCCATGCACCAATATTGAAGTTAACCAAGCAGATCTCTGGGAGGAAAGAATGGCTCACCTGGACAAGCAGTGACGTGTACAGTAGACTTCTTCTAGAGGGGATAACACAAAGCACTCGCAGATGTAAAAGTGCTCTTTGCCGAAGAGCAGCACTCCTTCCAACACTGTATGCCCCTGCACAACTGCCACAGAGCACTTGAATGTGACCTAGTATGGAAGCAAGCATAATGAAGCCAGGAGTGGGTAACACAGGAAACAGGGACAGCAGGGAGCAAGACCCAGTGATGCAGAAGGACACATGTTTGTACCAAAACAGCTGCCATCTTGATTGGCAGGTCTATAGGGATGCAGCCACAAAATCACCATATGACTGACAGTGCATGCCTCTGTGGTACTAGTAGTGGGAGGGTCTGATGCCTTTTTCCCCCCAGTAAATCTGTTCCTTCCCCATCTATATGTGGCTATATTTAGCAATTTCACTACAGAACATGAAGAACTTGCAAATGTTGCAGGAGTTAGCACTGCAAAACTTTGTTAGACAGCAACACTTACTACACAGGCAGGGGGTTGAAGCACTGAGGAAAGAAGTGACTTACACAGCATCATACAGAAAACCAGTGGCATATAATAAATATATGTATATTCAGAATACAGAGAAAAGGCAAATACTTTTATTTAGATCCCAGTGAAATCTATACTTGAAAAAATCCTGCAAAGGGATCCCAGGGAGCAATGAGCAAGGAAAGGATATAATAAAATCATAGAATCATAGAATCATTAAGGTTGAGAAAGACCCTTAAGATCATCGAGTCCAACCGTTAACCTATCGCTGCCAAGTCCACCACTAAACCATACTCTAGGTATCTATCTCACCATGGCCAGCTGAATCAGCATACAATAGATTGAAATCTCAGTAACACAAAACTCCTTGCATTGTCACTTTTGCTTCTTTTATTATACAGAAGGCCAATCAAAATATATGAATCTATGATTATAGTTGTCTTAAAGATTTAGTTAAACATTCTGGAATAGTTTAAAAAACCTCCCTTGGCATCCTAAGACTCATTCTTTTTCTTTCTCCTGAGCAAATTAACTTGGCCCTTAAAATAGAGGAATTTCTAACCCATAGTTTAGAATCATTGGGAATTTTTCAACAGAGTAGTTCTTCAGTCATATATGTCAGTTCACAGACAGTTTTCTTGGGAATTGACCAGTTTTGATAAAGTAAAAAAAGCCTTTTTTTCTGGAACAGTTTCTATGGCTGAGAGATGGCGCAGAAAGAAAATAGACCAATACAGAGACCAGAAAAGCCCAACGATGTGGAAAATTGTGTGGGCTGCAGAAAACAAAGTTCTGATTTCGAATCAAGCAGTAATTCATTGCGAAGAATTGTCCTAACATTTAGATTCATTAAGTTCCTTACTTTTCTTGTCTGTTGATTCAATCTTCTGTATATACTCAGCTCCAAAAGAGCAGTCCACTGGTTAGCACAGTCAACTGGGAGGATCAAGGTCAACTCACTGCTGTGCCCAGTTTGGACCAGAACTTTGAACCAGTACTTCCTACATTCCCAGGGAAGGAGGCAGGAGCTAATCATCAGCCTATTAGCCCGGTCTCAGATGAAGCACCCTCTATTTGCAAAAATCCCTTCAAACATTCATACTGCAAAACACTAATGCTCCCCAAATCTTAAAACACTAATACTACCTTACACACTAAGAAAACTGCTCACTGCTGAGCTTCTCCTGTAAATCAACACAATCCTGAACTACATACAATCCAGAAATGAGTGTAAAATTTTGCAAGCTGAGTCCATCTGAAACTGCAAGGACCGGAGAGCTGCATACAGAGGGATTAGGTCTGAGAGGTACTTAAGTAACAGAAATTTGCTGGTTCAGAAATCTAGTGCAATGTTCTTGAGAGAACTGATTGACAAGTATGAGAAGTATCACAAAGTCTATTTTTCCTCTTAAGATCTCAATGAGCTCTTAGCTTACCAAACTTCATAAGAACAGGGGTCTTGTATTATTTTTTGTGCATGCAAAAATAACCCAGAAATAGCATTAGTTCTACTAGATCATGTAAAGTCTACATGATGATATGTACACTAAGTATGGTTCTAGTTCGCTTTTTGCCTTTGTTCCTACCTCACTATTTCTGGAACCAAATCTACAACCTTCCTTGCCTCCATCCCAAAATACACATAGGCTAGCTCAGGTCAGCTGAAACAGACCTGCACTGCTACACACAAGCTTTCCGTCTTGGATGCCAACATAACATAAATAATAAATTCATAAATAATTGAAATAAAATCTTGTTTCCACATTTAATTTTTTTTACTGAAAAGCAATTATTTTACCAACAAAATGGGGGGTTTCATTTTGAAATCACTTGAGTGGGCACAGAAGGTTGTTTTCATTCTGGATTTAAAAAAAACAACCCTGGAAGATTTCTGTGGGTAATATTTTATGAAAATACCTTTGCTCTCTTTCTCTTTCCCCTCTATATCTAAGAGGAAGCTAGCATTTTTCCATCACCTCTCCTGCAGATCCCACAGGAACACCTGTCTCTGTGGGGATATGCCAACCACAAAACTCTCTGAACTGGAGTGCCTGCGTCTGTGCATGCCATTACATGGTTAGAGGCATGTATGCTTGCACTGAGAATACTGGGGAATTCTGCTCACATTAGTGAACCACAGGGTTTCCTGAAGTAACTAAATAGCAGAAAGATCGCTTCTTTCCAAAAGGAAGGTAACTAAATATTGAAACATCAGGCAGTTGTGTAAAATAGCTAAATAGACACAAAGTTGAAATCCAGACTTCTAAGATATCTACCTCAGCAAACCCAGCCCATATGCCAGAGATCATGTGTGTGGTTTTGGGAGGCACATGGATTGTGAAGGAGGCCCGCTCATGATCATTAATATGGTGTGGCACAAATAATCACTCTGTTATTCCACCTAAGGCAAGACCAGGGCACATGAGCAGGCCTTGGGAGGGGAGAGAGCATGTATCTCTCAAACCTTAAACTCTAAGCCCCAGTACATTCTGTCTTCTGTACAATCCAACCAGCAACAGTCACCAGTGCCAAATCCATTTCTTCAATTTTATGTTATCACCCCCAACAGGACTGGACACATCTGCACTGTTAGAAATTCTAGAGCCCTTGGGCTGAGTCAGTTATTCTCATTTGGAGAACAGGGCTTATTCCATTCCAGGTGAGTAATAAAGATCTGACAAAGAGGTGTACTAGAGAACCCCCACCAGGACAGTCTTGTACCTACAGTCTTGCACTGAAACACCAAGCAGCTTGAAATTACCATAGATTAAACAAAAACTTTCCTTTTCTGTCAAAACAGAACAGAATACAGTTCACCAGCCACTAGAATCATTAATCAATGAAGCAAACATGACATAAAATAATTGAATAATTACCTTCTAAGGTATTGCCCAAAGCCCTGCATCTCTTGATTGCTCTGTTCATTCAGATGTATGAGGGAATTAAAGCTAAAGACATGGGGTTTTTTTCTTTTTCTTGTTTTTCAGAAGAGCTGTTTGTAAATGTTCCAGTTGCATTTAAGCAAATAGCCATAAAAGCATATCTGCTCTGGAGTTCAAGAGCCAGATTTCCAAAGGAATTACATGCCTGAAGATGCAAACAGTCTTTACAGTTTTCAATAACACTGGAGGAGGCTAGCCATCTATTCCTGCAGACTCTAATAGTGTTAGCATGGCCCCTCCAGGATAAAATACAATGCAAGGAAATTAAAGTCACAAAACTGTATCACTGGAACACACTGACCCATGTCACACCATCTCCTGAGCATAGAATTTTTACAGAATAAGGACAAAAGAATGGCTACTCCAAGTCTGTTCAGAGGTCCATCTTAACAACTATCCTCCGTCTTAGTAACAGAAGCTTAAGGAAAGAGTATAAGAAACATGCTAGGTATGGAGTGATTCTTGATCTTCATATACCTTCTCAGCAACCAGTGGCTTAGGGACATCCTGAAGCCACTTCCTCCTCCTCATTGTTACATCTCATGTTTCTCTATAAACACTCACAGCTGTCTCTAATCACTTGCTCAGCAAAAGGTACAAAAACTTTGCATGATACACATAAAAGCAACACATTCAGGTGGCACTGTATCAGGAATCACAGAGATGAAACCTGTAGTTATACACTCTTATCTGCCCTTTCTGTTGTGTATTGAGGAACCCACGGGCACACCAGCTACAAAGGACCTGTCAGTAAAGTAGGGTCAATGTTATTTAGGGCCACAGAGTTTAAAATGAATAGGAATACATGAAATCAAATACGTTGCTTTCACAATTTTCGCTAAGGAAACAGATATGTGTTATCATGGTAAGTGAGAGCAACACAGGTCCACCTCTCTGTGCCACTCACAAGACCTTTCCTGCAATGATTGTTAGTTTGCTTGTTGTTGAAGTCTCATCTTACTTTGAAACTGTCACACATGCGTCTCATTAATCACAACTTAAGAATACATGACAGGTTGCTTCATTCTCTCCACCTGCTCAATGACCAAAGGAAACTAAATCTACTTGACCTAGTCTTTAGTGGTAGGGGCTCTAGGCTCAAGTTCAGTCACATCTGAACTGTTACGAACATTGGATCAAATTTCTTCTGCTCAGACTTGAGTGAAACAACTGCAATCATGCGAAAGAAAGCTTTGTGGTCACAACTTTGCTTTGGAAGACCCAGGACACATTCCTTTTTTGCAGGTAGCCTTCACTCACCCTCCCTCCCTTATTCCACTGGAGCAAAAACCCCATGTGGGAAGTGTTTCTTCAGCCTGCACTTCTCAGGTTTTAACAACTTCCCAAATGCTGCAAGGGAAGAATATCAGATATTCTCTGATATAGGGGAAAAGGGAGAAAGGGGGGGTGGCAGAAGAAGGTTCTTGTCTTGTACATGGTCATGGGCACTGCAACTGCTCTTTGTCCTTGCTTTCTGTGATGAAAGCTACCATCTGTCCTGGCCGATCCCCAGCCTGAGAAGCTGGCATCCCTTAGTTGATGATAGCATCTGGAAGCCAGTTCTAATAGGATTGTGCTCATACCTCTTGCACACCCAGACGTCTCTGTCTCACTCCAGGCTCCTCTCAAACAGAAAATGCTGCCAAAAACTAATATGAGCCCTTAAATTTCCCCTTAGGTCAGTTCACTCAAGTTCATGCCCTTCCCACTGCTCCCATGACTCTCTCAGGAATAACCACAGCAAAGTCTGCCTGCACCTTTCCCTGCTGCATCATTCTACAGAAAGCAACTGTTAGGGAATCAGCTGTGCTTGGTTGAGGTGGTAGTCAGGACCCTGAGGTTTGTCAGGAGCTCTGCAGAGATCCAGGGAGCAGCTACAGCCTTACAATTGAATGACGTTTTTCATCCAGGCAAACACCAAAAAAACCCACCCAGAGGCAGATATGAAGGGGGAATACTGGGAGGTATCCATGGAGCACAAGTAGCATGGTGAAGGAGCACATCCAGAAGAGCAGAGATCTGGCTAAAGCTGCTCTAGGTTTTTTTGGTGACACTTACAGCATGATTCAGATCCTGCCCTTTGCACCTAGTAGCACAGTTGTTCACTGAGCTGGGGTGGGGGTGGAGGAGTATGGGCTGGGGAAGGGGCTCCCAGCAGCTTCTCTACTGCAGCAGAAACCCAGATAGGGAAAGTCAGAGGAGTAATCGTCCACAACATCTTGTCTTTCTTTAGGCACTCCCATCTGAACACAGGAAGAGTTTCAGCACTCCTTCCTGCAGTAAGCTAGCCATTACAATCTCTGCTCCTGCAGCAGGGAGGGAAGAGGAGAAACTGGGGCACAAAAAAGGGAAATGGCTTGTGCCAAGGACCTGGCTTCCTAATTCTCTGCTTTGATCACAATAGCTAGTCCCTATTCCCACTGTACATCAGCACACGTACAGTTCTTCACTGCTGCATCCTCACACTGGGATGAAGTGTAACAGTGCTGCCATGAAAACAAGCTGCCTTGGCGTCTTGCATAGCTGTGAGGTATGTGCAACGCCCCTAAAAACACTGGCTCCACCAAGTGGATGCAGAGCTGCTGCACCGTTCTTATGGTCCTAGATGCTGAACCTTACAGCTGCTCCCCTTTTCAACGGAGCCTATTCTTCAATTAGCTCTTTTCTCCCAACCATGGATCCAGCTCCCTCTAGCTGATTTATGCTAGTCCCTTCTATTATTGTCCTTGGCACCTCCTGTGCTCTCTCCAGCCCCTCCTTCAAGGAAAGGCATTGTGCCCAGATTTCTGCTAGGCCATGCCCTCTTGTTAGCTTCAGATTCATTACCCCAGCTGTTTGGATTTCTTACCATCTCAAATGACTTGCTGGCAAACAGAGGTTTACTTTTCTCCAAAATTCAGAATTTCTACACCAAAATCATTCCCCAAGCTTTACAACACTTTCTTCATCTATTACATGCTAACCGCACATTAACAACCTGGCAGGACTACTTTAGGCTTGTAAAGATCAGGGAGGCAATCTTGCAGTTAGGGGCTCAGGTTGCGGATATAGGAATTCAATCTCCCTGTGTCTGCTGGTAAGCCAGGGTTATTTAAAGGGTTGACTCTGGCTTTTGATAAGCAAGTTGATAGATTAGGTCAGGACAGGTTCCTATTTGCATTTCTCTTGCACAATTCTGCAGCAGCACATGTTGTGTAACATCACCCACATTGCATATAACCTCTCCTTCCATGTCTATGGCGTGCACAGTCTTAGTATACTGAAGATACATGCAAAACAGAATCTTCACCTGTACACACTATAACCACAATGGAGCCTCAGCAAAATGTATAACCAAGGACCCAGAGTATGACAGTTCAGTTACTTCTGAGAGGACAGCCCTGACAGCAACACCTGTAAATCTGCACCTGCAGTCTGATATATTCATCTAGTGAATTACACACATTGACTTCTGCATACAGGAAAAAAACATCTTGTGCTTTGGGCATATACACATAGATACTACTTTACACTACTGGAATTACAGCACCAGTTCCAAACATTCAGCAATGAAGTGACCCAATTCCCAGTTTTGAGTTCAAAGTCACATTTTTCCCAAACACACCAAGAGCAGTCCTTTTGCCCAGCTTTCACAAGTGGTCCCTGCTGGGGCCATCTGTAAGGAAGGAGGTGAAGCAACGGGATCTCAGCTACCAACCCACCATCCTCCTTTAGTCTGCACACAACTGCCCTGATCCTCCATCCCTTGTGCCCAGACTCTCAGTGCGTGGGCGAGACACAAACATCTACAACCCCTCTGAATGCCCACTTACTTCTTCATGTACCTCCATAGAGCCAAAACACAACAATGGCCCTCTGTATCTTGCATTTCACCAGCACTGCATATGAGGTTTTTGGCCTTTAGATCTGGCTCTAGCAGATCACTGAAAGCTGATGGACTAGGGGAAACTGGTGACGAGTATAGAAAGAAACAGGGAAACAACAGCAAGGAGCTTCATATAATTGAAAATGACACTACATCTAGGGTAGGGTGACTGCAGAGGAGAGACTAGGGCTCTCTGGGTAAGGGAAACAGGATGAGATCAAGAATCCTGAGAAATGGACTATGTAGGTGAGGAGAATGGGACAGATAGCTCAAACACAAGAGGAATGCAGGGGCAGCTGAGAGGGGCAAAACAGCTGAAGCTAAACTTCAAATAATCAGGAAAGAAAGAGTGCTCACCACAACACACTCTCCCTTCCAAAGGCAGGGCTGGGACACATGGTGGAGGAGATTTGTGATTCTTTGCAACCTCCTCCCTCTACAGGACAGGACCTTATACAGGATCATAACATGCTCCTACTATCCCCTCCAGCTGCCACTTTGGCAGAGGCCATTATAAAGGCCTGAAAGGCTCTGAAGGTGCTTTCTCCAGCAGATGTCAATGTGATACCTGCAACTTTCAGCAATTCTGCCATTGGCCCGCTATTCTTGGGAGGTCTGACAGAGGCTTCCATTTTCAAGCTTTGGGAATGTCACACAAAATTTAAGAAAGCGTTATTATGATTGCAAAGTTATATCCTCAAAAGTCAGCCTGAATTTAGCCCCTTTGCATTATGTTACCATGTAACTACAGGATTAAATACTGCTTTTTTCATAGAGCTTGCTCAGGATGGACATATCATAGTGATAAATTAACACTGTGTAAGGAAGATGATTCGAGTCTATAGCATTCC